GGGGGGGGGGGGGGGGGGTTGTAATATTATAAAAATCTAAGCCATTCTGGTGCAAAACAGAAACCAACATTATCACAGAACCAATATAAACTTGCATAAAGAAAGTGGCACATTCTAAAATGCTTCACATTAGATGAAAGTTATGAAGCAACACATGTTTCAGGACTGTTGGTTATAACAGTGTTGGTCTAAGGACACAGGCAGACAAAACTCTTTGGGTAGAGGCAATATGCAACACGTGCACTTCAACATTAGCTTTATTTCATTATAGCAGTATAACTTCCCCTATGTTGTTATAGCCCATGGATGCTTGTTTTCCTTCCTCAAAATGTTCATTCCTGAAATCTTCCTGTAGTTAAACCAGATCAAGAATCAGTCTCACTTTTTTTGTCAGATGCTCTCAACATGTTTCATTCTCACTCTATAATCAAACAGGAAGTTTCAGAAACAAAAAATTATTCTGTATTAACATTTCCCATGCAAATTGGCAGGCAACAGATTTTTAAGCTTTACCTCAGACCTGTAAATATGTATTTATATCCTGAACTTCCCCAACCCTCCCCCCACAATAAAATGGAAAAAAAAACCAAACAAAAAACCCCAAAACAGACATCAAGCTGAAAAAAAAAAAGTAGCTGTCACTCAGAAAACACTGCCTCTGCAACATGTTCACTGCTGCAATGCTACTAAAACACATTTTTAAAAAAAGGTTGCACATACTGCAGCAGTGGCAAGAGGCTCCAATCAAGAAAGCCTCAACTGTGCTAGGAATCAACCCCTCCTCCTGCCACCCCCCCCAAAAAGTCCCTGTCCAAAGAGCTCATGGTAGAGATTGTAAGTGTCCCAAATTACTGTATAATCTACTTCTAGAAGACGACAGCAGAAAAAAAGAATATTGTGTGCTGGTTTCTTTAAGCTACCACCCCACTTTGTGATCGCCGAGATACAGACAAAGCTGTCATAATTCCCATTTAAATCCCTTCCTGATCTGCTATATTGCCACAAATGGAAACTGCCGGTAAAAGTTGTGGCCCATGTGTCATGAATTGGCTGCTACTGTGGTAGTGAACGTCAGAAAGATAGGATTTTTTTTCCAGGAAGTCTAAAAGAGTGATGTTTTCAGTAGTGACATTTAAATAGTAGCTAAAAAGGGATACAAAATAGCACATCACGATTTGTAATTGAACCTAAAGCTATACATGAGTAACAGCACCAGAATCAATTAAACACTGAGTTTTTCAATAGTCAAGTACAATACGAAAAAAAATATGGATTCTGGGCACCTCGGATGCTCCTTGCACAATATGTTGAAAATTTTCAAACACATCTAGATTATACTATGGAAAACTAAAGGGTACAAAAGCAGAAAAGATTTAGAATAAAACACCTTCCTTCTAGCAAAATTCTAGCACCCTCTCAACAACACAGAATAACATTTGCTTTTAAAGTTTCATTACAGCCAATAAAATGATTTGTATTTCAGAAGGTATGTTCATTCAGGTTGGTATGAAATAATCTCTCTTACTTACAGAGAAAGCAGCATTAAAGAAAAATCAGTAACAGGACATATAAGCACTTTACTCAGGATGTTGAAGGCTAGTGGTACTAGACTTCATGCCAGGGTTACCTAGAGTTTTTTTCAGCAAATCCTCCTACAAGTCAACTACATACTGGAGTTCAGACATTATGGCACCTGAGCTATGGTTGAGCCAGTAATCTTGAACAACAGAGGGGGGGAAAAACAACCAACATTTGTGTTGTGTTGTATTAGTGTTGTGTTCTTGTTTGTTCGCCAAATACTAGATAAAAGTACTTGTCTATGAGCAGCTATTACTTTTTATTTTGTTAAAGAGCCAATAAATAATCCCACAGGAATGACTGAGATTGATTTAAGAGGGTTTCCCCTCCCCTCCCACCCGCCTTAGTTTAACAATTCAAAGGTCATCTGTAAACAACTACCCATTTAGAAAGAGTTCTTTAGAAAGCCTAAAAATACATCCTAGTGTTCAAATATGGAAGGGTTATCATCTTTATATACGTTAATCCTTAGAACAGAGTAGCCACACATTAGTTCTGAATCCCACTTTTTAAAGCCTGTTATGAGTTGGAAGACAAACACTGAAAAACAACATTTAGTCAGTCTCGGAGGATGAAGTTGGGAAGAAAATAAAAAAGGACCATACCATGCAAATGAGTTTGCAGACAAGCTATTTCAAATCATCATTATGGAACACCACACTTAGAAGATACGGAGCAGACACATCTACAGTACTGGTTCTCAACTAGTGTGTCACGGCACCCTGGGGCGTTGAACTGCTGGTGCAGCCTCCTTCACAGTCTGGCAAAACTGCCCCACACGCAGAGTTGCGGCATGTGCACACTCCTGCTTTAGTCTGATCAGAGAAAACAAATCAGGAGAAGAGCGGATGCAAGTGCCACACTTTGCAGTCTGGTTGTGCAGCAAGGGCACAAGGCAATTTTATCTGGCAGAGCACGGCCCTGGTTGAGAACCACTGTTGTGCTCAATTTCACTTTTGTGGTTCTCAACCATGGATGCCACCTCATTCAAAACAGTTGTGCAAGGGTGCCCCAACTCTGAAAATGTTGAGAGCCACTGATCTACAGCCTGAATCTTATTTTGAATCCTCTAAATGCTCAGGGAAAACAGGCTTTAAAATGCAAAAGCCAAACACCAAGACTTAAGTGCAGATATATGATAAACCATCCTGATAAAGAGTATGCTTGATGGACTAAGGTATTATAAACATTTTTCTTTTTCAATAATTGTATATCAATGAGCAATCAAGGAAAACATGCAGCCTTTGTTCAGCAGTTGACATTGGTCATCACCCCTAATTTGCTGACAATCCTTTCCAAGAATATCATTCAAACAAGTAGAACAGTTCTGTTACTACTTACTTATCAGTTCCCCACTTGCATTAGTGACTGAATAGTATTAGATTATATTACATTAAAACAGCAGCATTGGCAGAAACAGACTTCTGTTTCCTCCTTTGGCTGGAGACTGTGCTTCCTATACACTTAGGCACTAAGCACTTCAGACCTAAAGGGCTGTAAACTGCTGACATGAGTCACTTCTTCAGACATTAAATGATCACTTTGTTAGGGAGGGGCTGGTTTAGAGGATGTGTGGACCTCTAGCAACTTAAGAACAGATACTATGACCAATACAAAGAGTCAATGGTCTCCATAATGCATCTTTACAAGCAATAAAACTCATTAAAAAGCTATATGCTAGATCAGCAATTCTCTAAGTGTGGCTTGTGGGCCAAATGTGGCCCCAAGCGCCTTCGATACATCCTGCTGCTCCCCCTAAATTATTCCCCACTAAACAGGAATTCCACCC